CACATGTGCTCAGGATGAACCTGCTCTCATCTGTGAAAAGTACAGGCAAAATGCCAATCTGAGCTCTATGGTACCGGGCAATGAGCACAGGGTCCATTAGAGCACATCTGGCCCTCGGGCCACCCTCATGAAGTCTGTTTTTGATTATTTGGTCAGAGACATTCACACCAGTGGCCTGCTGGAGGTAATTTTGAAGGGCTCTGGCAGTGCGCATACTGTTCCTCCTTGAACAAAGGAGCAGATTCCGCTCCTCCTGATGGTTTAAGGAGCTTCTACGGCCCTGTCCAGCTCTCCTAGAGTAACTGCCTTTTCTCCTGGAATCTCCTCCATGCCTCTTGAGACTGTGCTGAGAGGCACAGCAAACCTTCTGGCAATGGCATGTATTGATATGCCATCCTGGAGGAGTTGGACTGCCTGTGCAACCTCTGTAGGGTGCAAGTATCGCCTCAGGCTACCAGTAGTGACACTGACCCTAGCCAAATGCAAAACTAGTGAAAAACAGTCAGAACAGATGAGTAGGGAAAAAATGTCAGTGTCCTCCACCTGTAAAACCATTTCTGTTTTGGAGGTCTTTTCATTGTTGCCCATTTAGTGCACCTGTTGTTGAGTTCATGAACACCAAAGCAGCTGAAACTGATTAACAACCCCCTCTGCTACTTAACTGACCAGATCAACATCCCAGGAATTTAATTGACTTGATGCTATACTCTGATTAAAAAGAGTTCCTTTAATTTTTTTGAGGTGTGTGTGTGTGTGTGTGTGTGTGTGTGTGTGTGTGTGTGTGTGTGTATCTCCATGGCTAGGTTGTTTTAAAACAGTACAGTAACTGACTTAAGCACCGCCAACCACAAGACATTGGAGACCAATCCATGTAGCCACCTTCAAAAACAACCCATAGTAAGCCCCCGTGTAACAACCACTACAGATGCATAACATAGGACAGAGATAACCAGCAAGTATATACCTGAAATGAGTATCAGCACCCATCACCACTGAGGGCTTCAAATGGAAGACTTCCCTTTTAAACACTGCTCCAATCTGGCGTCGGCCAGCAGTGACATCACAGGACCTGGTCCCTAACTGCACGCGCTCTGGAATCCAGCGGATGCGCAGTGCTGATGCTGAAGCCCCTGTGAGTGGGGTAAAGCACCGCTCCGTGGCCCTCAAGGAAGCAGAAGGTGTTTCGAAGGGGAGAAAAACACCCCTGCTATTCCCACCGCCCAAGAGATCACACATTTGCCCCATTAAAGGATCGCCGCCAACACCACCATGAGGCCCAAACCCAAACTGCACTTAGCAGCATAGTGCCAGAAAAAGCACAAAATCAATGCAAAAAATATATACAGACCATAGTATAAATATATAGACCAAAACAAAAAAAGAAATAACAGTACCAATGGTGTTTTATACATATACAGTATTTCAAACTAGCAAACAGTACATCAACAGAATGGACCATACTGGGGTCCAAGCCACATCTGAAAAACTCCAGCACATAAAACGACATGAAGGAGAGAAGGGGGGAAAAATATGTGCTAGATTACCCAAATCATAATATGATTATTTGACCATAACAGCCGTACAACCATCAATATTTACAGAAAAGATTTATATGTATGCATTTCACTTATCCCAGGTGGGTTAGTCGCATTCAGATGCGCAGTGCACAGCGTATCACTTTGAAGAATACGTTCAGATCATTAAATAACTCCCTGGGTGGTACAGTTGGCAAATCATAAACAGAAAATGGACTGCACACTTTAAAAAAAAAAAAAAAAATGTGTATGCCTACTCCCAAATAAACTGTGTCAAATAATAGAACAATCCCCAGATGTGACAAATAAAAAAATTAATAAATATTAATGAAGTGCCTGATACTGACAAAAAAGTGCAAAGATATACAAGAATGTGTAATTGACCTATACCCACATACACTATGTGTCAAACAATAGTATAGATGTAAAACAATCCCCAAATTATGCCATAATAGGCAAGTAAATAATGCAAAAATAATTCTATAATTACCTCCACCCACATAAACTATGCGCTGAAATACAACAATCCCCAAAATAAATAAACTAAATAATTTTTATATAGCCATTAGATGTTTATAAAGTGCCTAATTACAACAAAATCAAAGTGCAGCATGATATACAAAATAACATACAAATATTTAAATCAACATATCTTAATATGTAACAAATCTCCATAGAAAGTGCTCTGTGCTCATAATCTGTGGTTGTGCCATATAAATTGATGAAAAACACCCAAAGAATAATGCAGGCCATAGATGGGGAGAAAAACGGCAGATTTTTGGCCGATTAACGAACTATCGGTCGGTCTAAAAAACTTACCTGACCACCAATTATTACGCAAATCGGCCGATTAATGAGTAACCTATAACGGGAAATGATGTCATTTTGTGGCCTTTGTGATCCTTTTTCGGAAAACGATCGTTCGTTTTTGACCATCAATGACGATAAAGTCGGGCGTTTTTCGAAAATTTTCCAACATCACCGATAATCTGAAAGTCCAAAATACACGAAAAACGGCCGACAAAATCGTCCACTAACGATAAGATAATCGGCCGGTTTTATTTTCGGACGAAAAATCGGCCGTTTTTCTCCCCATCTATGGCCTGCATAAGTGCTCTTCCTTCTCCCAAAGGAGATCACACAGTTGGCAAATCGTTGCAATTTTCCATTGGGTAAACGGATCCTTATGCAGGCCATAGATGGGGAGAAAAACGGCAGATTTTCGGCCGATTAACGAACTATCGGTCGGTCTAAAAAACTTACCTGACCACCAATTATTACGAAAATCGGCCGATTAATGAGTAACCTATAACGGGAAATGATGTCATTTTGTGGCCTTTGTGATCCTTTTTCGGAAAACGATCGTTCGTTTTTGACCATCAATGAGGATAAAGTCGGGCGTTTTTCGAAAATTTTCCAACATCACCGATAATCTGAAAGTCCAAAATACACGAAAAACGGCCAACAAAATCGTCCACTAACGATAAGATAATCGGCCGGTTTAATTTTCGGATGAAAAATCGGCCGTTTTTCTCCCCATCTATGGCCTGCATTAAACTCCCTGTCACCCAGGGGTTGGCATTGGCAACAACGGTAGGTGTCATTTGGTAATAGAGGGTCATCAGCTGCCTGATGCTAATGACTTGAAATAAGGTGATCATGTATTATTATTATTATACAGTATTTACAAAGCGCCAACAGTTCGCTCAGCGCTGTACATTACAAAGGGAGACAGAACATACAACAGTACAATAACAATACAATGTGATACACGAGGGGTTTGAGGGCCCTGCTCCTTGGAGCTTAAAATCTAGGAGGGAGGGGATAGTGGTACAGGAGGAGCTAGCTTTGGGGGATGGAGTGGTAGGAAGAGTGGAGGAGGTTGGCAATTAGCAAGGGGTGGGGTGGGGTAGGCTTCCCTGAAGAGGTGGGTTTTCAGGGTGCGCCTAAAGGACAGGAGAGTAGGTGATAGTCTGATGGGTTGGGGTAGGGAGTTCCAGAGGATGGGTGACACCCTGGAGAAATGCTGGAGGGCGGGCATGGGCGGAGGAGATCAGGGAACTAGAGAGAAGGATAGAGGTATAGAGGTCGCCTGCCTAAAGTCCAGTTCAGGGGTGGATCTAACACATTTTTGACAAGGCGTATTCCTCAGTTAAATGGCACTATCTTTAGGGGTCCCCTATTTGGGCTCCCCGATTACCTGATATTTTTCTTTGTCATGATTTCTGTTGGCACCTTTTGTATTTTGTATTATTGGATGCTCTTTTCTTAGCCCCTGCGTTAGCCGATTTTGGTACTCACTTGGTTACCTGTTGTAAAACTAATAATTATTGAACCAGAAAAATGTCAGATTGAGTAAGAGTGGGGAAATAGGATACCAAATAGCTGTTTTCTAACTTGTAGAGTTCAGCTTTGTTTTACAAGTAGCATTAATTGGAGATTATTTTGTTGAACGCGCATTGCGAAAGAAAATAAAACCTTCTGCTTTCATCCTTACGTGTTCAAATCAAAACCATTTTCTTTTTTCTTTTTTTTTTTTTTTTACTACTATGGCCGTGTTTGGTGGCAATTTATTTTGAATTTGTGAGCAGTCTTCGGTCCCTATAAAGTGTCTAGAAATGGTTCCTCGGAGTATTGTGAAATAGTCTAGGCATACACATGTAAGAACAGATAAATACCTGTTAATTTACTAGAATTGAGCCCAGTGACCTAATTTCCTGTTGTGGGTTGACAACACAGTACCTTTTATTTTTACTGAAATTGCACTAAATGGAATCAACCCTGCCCAGTTGTCTTTTGCTATACTGCAGAATCCCTCCCTCTTTCCTCCTCTGCAAAACATAGGAGTGAATTGTTTTTCAGTCTAAAATGCCTTTGCATATATCGAACAAATAACAAATGATACCAATGGTATATCTAACAGACCAAAAGGAATGCATAGTTAATGTTTAAATACAATTTGTTATATCTAAATCCTTCCCCTTTCTTCCTACCTAATACTAGGTTGGATAACTTTCACATATAATAGGACCAGACCCTGTGGTTATAAGTGGCTCCGCAACACTGTTGCTCAGTTTGAGATCTGTGTGAGGCTCTTGGCTTTAGGACTAGGTTTAACCACTCACCTACAGGGCACTTATATCCCCTTCCTGCCCAGGCCAATTTCCAGCTTTCAGCACTGTCACAGTTTGAATGACAATTGCGCGGTCATGCAACACTGTACCCATATGAAATTTTTATCATTTTTTTGAGACAGAGCTTTCTTTTGGTGGTATTTAATCACCTCTGGGATTTTTATTTTTTCTTAAACCAAAAACCACTGAAAATTTTGAAAAAAAATGTTTTTTCTTAGTTTTTGTAATACAATTTTTGTAAATAAAGTGATTTTTCTCCTTTACTGATGTGCGCTAATGAGGCTGCAGTGATGGGCACTGATAGGCTGCACTGATGGACACTGATAGGTGGCACTGATGAGGAGGCACTGGTAGGTTGCACTGATGGGCATTGACAGGCATCACTGATGGGCACTGAAAGGCAGCACTGATACATGACACTGTTATATGGCACTGTTAGGCGGCACTGACTGGCACTCTTAAGCTGCACTGACTGGCACTGTTAAGCTGCACTGATAGGTGGCACTGATTGGCAGCACTGATTGGCATTGATAGGTGGCACTGATGGGTGACATTGAAAGGCAGCTCAGATGGGCACTGATATGTGGCATTGATGTGCACTGGTATGCATTGATGTGGCACTGATGGGCACTGGCACGTGGCACTGACTGCTGGCACTGATGGACACTGACAGGTGGCACTTCTGGGGCCACACTGATCATCAGTGCCCTGATGATCAGTGTACATGTACTCTCTGCGGAAAGCCAATTACCGGCTCTCCTCTCGAGCTGTCAGCGTGACAGCTCGAGAGGAGAGAAATGCAGATAACCGGCATTTCCGTGTTTACATGCGATCAGCTGTGATTGGACACAGCTGATCACATGACCGAGCCGACATCTTCGTGATCCATGACTCTTCGTGACTCTTTCCGTGATCCATGATCCGCTGTGTCCGAGGGACACAGCACACCGATGCAGTGAGAATGGAAGGACGTTGTCCTTTCAGAAAGAGAGAAACACCTTGCGCCTGTCATTGTACTATATGGCGGGCGGAAGGTGGTTAAAGGACAACTGTACCTTCATCCCCCATCCTGCATGCAGCCTACCTGGAGAAATACTACTACTTCCTGTATTCTTCACTGTATTAGGTTACTTTAACACTGATCCATTTTTCTTTCGCTTTTGCATTAAAAAAATACCTGTGTGACCATGTATTCCTATGGAACTCTTCTTCACACTGATCCGTTGTGGGTCTGGAGCGTTTTTTTTTTTTTTTTTTTAAATCCTGCTTACTGCATTGCATTTTTGGTGCAGTTTTTGAGTCACATGTTCTTTAATAAAATGCACCACAAACGCGGTAAAAACACATGCTTTTTTTTCCATCTATTAGTATGAAAGTAGACTAAACCTTTCTTGATCCACACAGCCTTATTTTAAAAGTGTACAGCCCTAGCCAAAGTTTTGAGAATGACACAAATATTAACTTTCATGAAGTCTGCTGCTTCAGTGTTTTTAGATCTTTTTGTAAGATGTCACCATGGTATACTGAAGTATAATTACAAGCATTTCATTGGTAACAAAGGCTTTTATTGACAATTACATTAAGTTTACGCAAAGTCAATATTTGCAGTGTTGACCCGTCTGCAATTCGTCCTAGCATTTTGTCGATCAACTTCTGGGCTACATCCTAAACGATGGCAGCACAGTATTGCATAATAAATGCTTGGCATTTGTCAGAATTTGTGAGGTTTTTTGTTTTGTTCACCCGCCTCTTGAGGATTGACAACAAGTTCTCAATGGAATTAAGGTCTGGGGAGTTTCCTGGCCATGGACCCAAAATTTCGATGTTTTGTTCCCAAAGCCACTTAGTTATCATTTTTGCCTTTAGTCAAGGTGCTCCATGATGCTGGAAAAGGCATCGTTCGTCACCAAACTGTTCTTGGATGGTTGGGAGAAGTTGCTCTCGGAGGACTTTTTTGTATCATTCTTCATGGCTCTGTTCCTATGCAAAATTGTGAGTGAGAAACAGAGATGTCTACACTGAACTCATCCTCAAGAGAGCAGAAAAATGGCAGTGATATATTTTTAAATAATTGTAAGCAAATGATGGAAACATCTGATGCTGTGCAAGTGCCTTGAATTCTAGGCTCAGGCTGCACTTGGGTCCCTGCTAAAGTAGAGATTCAGGGCTTTACCCCCTACCCTTACTGATTTAAAGCTCAGCCATGTTTTAAACTATTTGATGTCAGTCTTTTCTCTAAAACTTTTCATTACCACAGATTTCACACATTTGTTTACTTAGAATTTGTATCCCTGTTTTCTAGATCTCTAGATGTTGTAGACAGAGATATTATAGGTCTTGTAGATTATAAATGCTATAAATAGAAATATTATGGATATTGTAGATAGAGGCTTGCATGTTGGGCTTTTAGGCTCCATGCACACTGGGCATTTTAATAATGCTGGTAACGTTGGCTGTGTAAAGTCACGTTAAAAACATGAGTTTTTCAGTGTTTTTAGTGTTTTTGCATTAGCGCTTTGCTGCGTTTTTTTTTTAGCGTTTTTGGGGGGGGTTTTTTTACCAAAAAAATTTTTTTAGCTAACAAAAATGCTGGTTTGCCTCATTTTACTGTGTTTTTACAGCTAAAAAAAACTCTCTAGAAACCCACTAGTTCTAGGTTTCTTTTCCAGCCAAAAAACGCTGATTACAGTCTGTGTGCATGGACACATAAGATAACATGCTGGGGAGTTTATTGGCTGTAGAAAAAAAAAAAACCGCCAAAAGCCAAACACAGCAGCTGTAAAAATGTCCACTGTGCATGAGGACTTATAGCTTAACAGTCTAGGCAACGACAATGGAAAAAAAATAACTAGAAAGTTAAGCTTTCCTTAATTTTTGATGGATGATTTGTTACTAATTTTATGTTTGCTTTGTATTTTTTAGCTGCTGTTGCTGTTCGATAATGGCACTGCATAGCACAAACAATGTGCATGCACCTCTTTTTGAGCCGCACAGAAACCAGATTGCAGGGTTGTTTTGTATCATGTGATCCAGTGCAGGCAGTCTCACTTTGTTTGTGACCTGCTTTTGAGGTGTAGTTAACTTTGAATTGAGACCTGCAGCTGATCGCAAAATACAGTGCAATTGCAGTGTGGTATAGGAAACTCACAGGGATCGCAATGTTTCTCGCACTGCATATGTGTCAACCGTGGCAACTTGGTCTATCCATTAACATGCATGTGCTTCTACTATAAAGGCTCTCAAAATGTATAGCGTTAGGACTGCAGATAATACTGGGGTGCAGTGAAGAGGCTCTGCAGCTTATGCATGTATTTGCAAATGTGTGCAAACTAAACCCCCTTTTTTAACATGAACTGTTAGGATAACTTGGTTAGTTGCAGGCTGATTGGTAAGTTGAGCTGTGAATTTTTCATTGTTGTTTGTCAAGCATTGCCCTTCCATGTGCTCTGTACTGCAAAGGCCAGTTCTAGATTGGTGCATTTGCCATTTGTGTTTTAATTTTTTTTCATGTTTGCTTTATATCCTTTAGCAGGCGCCTTTTTTTGATCTGCACGAGAACCAGATTGCAGGGTTGTTTTGTATCATGAGATCCTGTGCAGGCAAACTCACTGGTTTTGCCACCTGCTTTTGGGTTGTTGTTAACTTTGAATTGACACATGCAGCAGTTCGCAAAATACTGTGCAATTGCAATGTGCTACAAGAAACACACAGGTAACACAACATTTCCTGCACCGCATATGTGTGTATCAGGGCAACTTTTATCAGTCTGTAAATGATCTGATATTTTGTAAAGTAGATCATTGTATGTCACTGTGAGATATGAGGATCATAAACACAGACCTATGTGGATAATTATTGTCATTCTCCACACTGATAACTTTAGGAAGTGTGTATCTCCAAGCTGTGTCTGTATGCAGATCATAATAGAAGATCTATTTCCTTTTTCTTGTGATGCGGGGTTACCTCTTCTCCGCTACTGTATTATAGGACAGCTCCAGGTGTCATTTCACCTGTTTTGTTTGAGATGCGTTTGACGGTTTTTGGTTTGATAAACGGTGATAAGTAAATTACAGTTCTGATTTTTTTAAATGTATTTTACGGATTTAGGGCCCCCTACATGCCTGTGAGTTCACGATAATGTTGCACCAACAGCATTCTGATACCTGTGCCCATTAAGTTCCTTTGGGTCCACACCCCAAAAAAACATGCTTTACAATGCACCACAACACGTCATTTCATATGTGTGGTGCAGTGCATTGAGGATCAGGTACTCTGTTTACTATGTGGATTTGCTTGGAGGCCGCAGTAGAAATGAATGAGTGAACCCCCCCCCAAATACATGCAAGAACAGCATGTAGCAATCAGATGTGAAACGGTTTCTCTATCATGTAATGTCCTTGCTGTTTTACCTATGGGGGGCTGGGCAGCACTTTCCAACATACATTCTCATTCAACAGAGGAGCATTTTAAATGAAACTGGAACTAGATGACCATTATCCAAGGAGAGTACTGCAGACAGAGGTTTCCATAGCAACACAGATCAGCTGATGCTACACATTCATTTAAGATTAGAGCTCTGTGTGTGACAGTGGAAGACACCCTCTAAACTATACTGCGACAATACTTTTCCTCCATCATGTGGTGTTTTTTTAATTAGTGATTTTTTTTTAAACCTCCTTTAGTTTGTGTTTGCAGTTGGCAGGTGTTGTAGCTTACAAAAAGGATCTACAGAGTTTTATGTATGAATTTAATTAGACTGCTTATAGAACTGTACGAATCTTGTTAAAGCCGAATCTTCCTTCTTACATATTGTACTTTCCGCAATTACAGAGAAAGATGGACCAGAGAAAAAGAAAGTAAAGAAAGAGTCCGGAAATAAGAAATCTACCCCGGTTAACATCCTCTTTGGTTACCCGTTATCTGAACGCAAACAGATGGCACTTCTCATGCAAATGACTGCCAGGGACAACAGCCCAGGTACCTGATTTATTGCTGCCTTAAGAAGGGAAAGCAGATTGTTATGGTAAACGTTCTACGTCATAATGCACCTGAACTTTACATTTGTATGTGATACAAATTGTATATCTTCCATCTGCAGTCTTACAGTTCAGATGTTGATTACCTTTGGCAGTATATGAGATGTAGCTGCTAATTTGTGGTTGTGCTCTTATTAGGCATTGAAGCTACTTTTCATATGCAGATCAGAAATCAGTGAGTATGTTAATTTAGTGGATATGAAAGAGGACAAGTACGCAGACTTTAAGGGTTCATGCACACACAGGGGTTTGAATTTCTCCTCTCAATGTCCTTTACTCCTGGCAGGGAAAACCAGCTTAAAAAGGTACTAAAGCCACATATTTGGATGCGCATTTAGGTGCTTCAAGCTTGAGGCATTTATTGATTCCATTGGCCAATATGAATTTTACCCTTTGGGATGAATGAATGCTCAAGGGCTTAACACATCTAGCGTTTAGATGCGTCAAGTATTTTTTTCCCCCTAAAGTTCCTCTCCTGAACAAGCTGAGGTTAGAAGCTGATTGGTTTCTATGCAGAAGGGAGTCTGATTTTGGACTCTCCAGCTTTAGTAAATAAACCCCTATGTGTGCATGGACACATAGGCAAATATAGAGGTGCTTGTAAAAGAGGTATTTTTGCAAGCCATGTGTGCATGAGCCCTTAATTTCAGGGGGAAAAATTTGCCCAATAAACCTTTAGGAGATCTGGATAAAAATTGTATCCAGGTATAGGATTTATTCACTAATACTGTTGTATATTACTTCAATCAGCTCTTCAGCATTTTTAAACTCAAGCAAAAATGTCATATTGAAGTTTTTGTGATGGCTCCATTAGTACTAGCAGTTTTGGTATAATGGTTACACCACATCCCTCAATAAAAAAAAAATATATATATATTCTCTCCCTTATGCCCTTAGAACTTTCAAGGAGCCTAATAATAACATAACTTGTTTGTATTTTAAAATGTATTAATGTATTTTAAAATGACACATACAATTTTATTTAGTACAAGGAGTAAAAGAAAAACCATACATTGTGTATACCAACAATTCACACAGATGAACAATGTGGTGCAGGGGTACATCCTTCTACCACTACCCAATCACGCAGGAGTGGTTGCTTTCTCAACACGTTTTGCTGTCTGATTCTTCAGGAGAAAATTGGGTATTCGCTTTTATACAAATGTATGTATTTTTGGTACAGCTGTCATTACATGCACAATAAACCTTATTCAAAGGTAATGATATTGTTGTACAGCTTACTTATGATGTTCAACACTTACATAAGGATTTTGATATTGTATCGTGCAATTCAGTACCCAGTCGCTGTAGAAACTCCAATGTGGGGGCCACAGGGGGAGGAACCACACAAGCCAAGCCAAGACCGTTTAATCTAAAAGATATGTATCCGAAACAGCCATTTAATCTACATTTCTCTAGGTACAGTAGGGCTGCAATGTAATAGGTTGAGCATTTACCTGCCATTTACTGTATGTTTCCTTGTTTATATCCCCCATGAGCCTTACAGCATTTCAGTACAAAAACACAGATACATAGCAAGTACAAAGTAAGTCCAGTCTTCCACAGTATGGGGTTTAGTAGCATAATGTTTTTGAATACATGGAAAGGTGTATGTGGGAGAATATCCACAGTCAAAGAATGAGATAGCATATGAGTAAAGCATATACATGAAGGAAGATTGTATGTAAAGACCTCTCCAATGTAGAAGCAGGTGATCGCTGAAACTAGTATTTAATCCTTTTGTGTAAAAAAAAAAAATGTATAGAACCAGAATAGGCTCCATACCAATATTATTATAAGACTTTGAAAATCTGCCCGTGGCATGTTATAACTGCCCGAGCCATCATTAAGAAATGTCCCAGAACGCCCTTGTTATTTTTTTCTACTAGATTCTGGAATTATAGACAGCAGGATTATTTGTAGAGAGTTGGTATGGTCACATCTGTATCTTTAGTATACATTTGAAGGATTTGAGCCCAAAACCTCTTGATGAGGGGAGCCCACCAAATATGAGTTAGCAAACCCTGGTGGAGTTGGCAATATACACATTTTTATGCTGTGTTAGTCACCCATCTGGACCTCAGTATTATGGTTTATTATTCCAATCCGCCTAAATATTAATTTCACATATTGAAAGTCATATTATAATTGCATGGCTTAAGAAATTACCTTTCCATTTCAATCGGCAGTTCTGCAATTTTTTGTAAAATGCAGTGTGACCACCTGGAGGCATTCTGTACACAAATGGTATACACAACGCCCCCAGAAATGTAATTTCCTACCTGTGTGATTGGCTTACCGATTTTTCCCAGAGGTCTACAGACCCCCCACCACCACTGGATGTGTGCCAATCGGCTGCAGCATATGATATAACCAGCAGCGTGTACATGTGCCCTGTGCATGCATGAACCGTGATCGCTATATTGGAGTGGGTCAAGCCTGGGGGCATGGTTGTGAGCACTACTCTTGCACCTAGGGTTGCCACCATCTTGCAGTAGAGCAATGGCAGCAGCCATATTGCTGCCTAAATCACCTGTCCAGCCAGAAAAAGGGACAGATGCAACCCCTGACATTAGCGGCTGCAGCAGTCATTCCCTGCCATGGAGTGCATCTCCTCAGCACATCCATACAGTCTCCATTCCAAAATGATAGAGTGAGGCACAGCTTAGGCATCAACCAAGATATATTGAGGCAATACATATAACCTAAACTACAATGTACAACAGCGATTATACAGTGAAGGATATAAGTATTTGATCCCCTGCTGATTTTGAATGTTTGCCCACTCACAAAGAAATGATCAGTCTAAAAATGAATGGTACGTGTATTATAACAATGAGAGACAGAATATCAACAAATAATTCAAAAGAAATGCATGTCTAACAAATTATGCACTGATTTGCATGTTCATGAGGGAAATATGTATTTGACCCCCGATCATTCAGCAGGATTTCTGGCTACCAGGTGTCTTTCATACAGGTAACAAGCTGAGATTAGAAGCAGTCTATTAAAGGGAGTGCTGCTAATCTCATTTTGTTACCTGTATAAAAGACACCTGTCCACAGGAGCAATCAAACAATCAGATTCCAAACTCTCCACCATGGCAAAGACCAAAGAGCTGTCTAAGGATGTCAGTCTCCCTAGGTCTGGTACACCATGCAAGATCTCACCTCGTGGGGTTGTCAATGATCATGAGAACAGTGAGGAATCATCCCAGAACTACATGTGAGGATCTTGTCAATGATCTCCAGGCAGCTGGGACCACAGTCACCAAGAAAACAATTGATAACACACTATGCCAACAAGGATTGAAATCCTGCAGTGCCCACAAGGTCGCTCTGCTCAAGAAAGCACATGTCCAGGCCCGTCTGAAGTTTGCCACTGAACATCTGAATGATGCAGGGCAGGACTGGTTGAAAGTGTTGTGGTCAGATGAGATTAAAATCGAGCTCTTTGGCATCAGCTCAACTCGCCGTGTTTGGAGGAGGAGGAATGCTGCCTATGACCCCAAGAACACCATCCCAACTGTCAAACATGGTGGTGGAAACTTTCTGCTTTGGGGGTGTTTTTCTGCTAAGGGGACAGGACAACTGCACCACATCAAAGGGATGATGGACAAGGCAATGTACCGTCAAATCTTGGGTGAGAACCTCCTTCCCTTAGCCAGGGCATTGAAAATGGGTCATGGATGGGTGTTCCAGCATGACATTGACCCAAAGCACACGGCCAAGGCAACAAAGAAGTAGCTCAAGAAGAAGCACATTAAGGTCCTGGAGTGGCCTAGCCAGTCTCCAGACGTTTATACGATTAAAAATCTGTGGAGGGAGCTTAATGACTTGGAAAGGATCTGCCAAGAGGAGTGGGCCAAAATCCCTCCTAAGATGTGTGCAAACCTGGTGGCCAACTACAGGAAACATCTGACCTCTGTGATTGCCAACAAGGGATTTGCAACCAAGTACTACGTCATGTTTTGTGAAGGGGATCAAATACTTATTTCCCTCATGAACATGCAAATCAGTACATAATTTGTTAGACATGCATTTCTTTTGAATTTTTTGTTGCTATTCCGTCTCTCAGTGTTACAATACACTACCATTCGAATTTTAGACTGATCATTTCTTTGTGAGTGGGCAAACATTCAAAATCAGCAGGGGATCAAATACTTATTTCCGTCACTGTATATAATTTAGTCTGTTTTAATAATTTACACAAAGCTGTGCGATTAGTACTATATGGGAAGAACAACATGTCATACAAAAAAGACAAAAATATATATGTGTGTGTGTGTGTGTGTGTGTGTGTGTGTGTGTGTGTGTGTGTGTATATATACACACACACACACACACAGTATCTCACAGAAGTGAGTACACTGCTCACATTTTTGTAAATATTTTATTATATCTTTTCATGTGACATCACTGAGGAAATGACACTTTGCTACAATGTAAAGTAGTGAGTGTACAGCTTGTATAACAGTGTAAATTTGCTGTCCCCTCAAAATAACTCAACACACAGCCATTAATGTCTAAACCGCTGCCAACAAAATGAGTACACCCCCTAAGTGAAAATGTCCAAATTAGGCCCAATTAGCCATTTTCCCTCCCTGGTGTTATGTGACTCGTTAGTGTTACAAGGTCTCAGGTGTGAATGGGGAGCAGGTGTGTTAAATTTGGTGCTATCGCTCTCACTCTCTCTTACTGGTCACTGGAAGTTCAACATGGCACCTCATGGCAAAAAAACTCTCTGAGGATCTGAAAAAAAGAATTGTTGCTCTACAAAAAGCCTAGGCTATAAGAAGATTGCCAAGACCCTGAAACTGAGCTAAAGCACGGTGGCCAAAACCATACAGCGGTTTAACAGGACAGGTTCCACTCAGAACAGGCCTCGCCATGGTCAACCAAAGAAGTTGAGTGCACATGATCAGTGTCATATCCAGAGGTT